GTATTTGGGTTTGCGTGTATGCCTGTTTTTTATGTAAGTTTTCTTTTTTGTTTTTTTAGTCCAGCTGAAAGAAACTTTCCTAATTCTGGGATCATTGGAAGAAAATACATCAGTGTAACCCAAAACCAAAAAACTGTAAAGTAAAAAAAAAAAAAAAAAAAAAGGAGACGTTAAAGGTTCTCCTTTGAGAAAACAAAAGATGTGAAACTAAGAATAAGGACACTTACACTCACTGGCCACATCATTAGGTGGCCCTGTTCAACTGCATTAAAAAGCAAACGGCAGCTCAACTCGAGCATTAAGGCATAAGCATTAGAGTAGTTGTTGGTGCCAGTCTGGTTGCTCCATTTCAGATTCTGTTGCTCTACTGGGATTTTCCCACACAACCACCTCCAAGGTTTACAGTGAATGGTCCAAAAACAGACAAAATACCCCGTGAGCAACAGTTCTCTGGGTGAAGATGCCTTGTTGATGCCAGAAGTCAGAGTATAATGGCTGGACTGTGTTGAGCTGAAATAAACAACCATTTGCTAGAACCAAACTATTCTGAAAACACAACATGTCAAACCTTGAAGCAGCTGGGCAACAGCAACAGAAGACCACACCAATGCTGCTGCTGTTAGCAAAGAAAAGGAAACTAAGACTACAGTCAGTATGGCTCATCAAAATTGGACATTCGAGTAGGTTCAGAATCTAGGTAAACAACAGGAAAGCATAGATTCATCAAACTTTCTATCAATGTTCCAGGCTGTTGGCGATGCTATAATGATGAGGACGATATATTCTTGTCACACTTTGTTTCCCTTAGTACCAAATGAACATTGTTTAAATGCCACAGCATACCTGAGTATTACTGCTGACTACGTCCATTCCTGTATGACCACAGTGTACCCATCTTCTCATCACTGCTTTCAGCAAGACAAAAAGCTGTCACAAAGCTCAAATTATTTCAAACTGGTTTCCCAAACATGAAAGTGAGTTCCCTGCACTCAAATGACCTCCACAGTCACCAGATCTCAATCCAGTAAACACCTTAGGGGTGTGGTGGCACAGGAGAGTCATATTGTGGATGTGCAGCCAATAAATCTGCAGCAAATATGCGATTTCATGCAAATATATCACATTTCATGTCCATTTAACCCTTAAAGCCGGGTGCCACAGAATAATATGCTTGTCATTTGTCTGCATGTTCGTCATGGAACAATCAACCAGTCTTACCAGTCTTTTCTGGTTGAGGACCTGCTCTATCAGAGAAGGTCTGGCTGGACGGTCCCCCATGGCACCTAGACGCTGTTTGTTCACAGACACAGGACGTTCTTCAGAGTTTTCCTACAGACAGAAAAACGCAATTAAATGTGCAGGTTTTGTTTGTGGCTTGGCTCTAAAGTGTGGAAATCAGACCTCCACATCATGGTAAATGCTTCTAGCACTGAGAGTATTTAACTTACATCAAGTTTCCCACTGGACATGGCCTTATCATTCTTCTTCTTCTTGTACTTGTCTTTGTACATTTTGTTGCGGTGTTTTTTGCACATCCATGGCTTTCTCTGCTTGGCCACCTGCGTCGTTGTCTCCGTGCACCCATCGTAGGTACACTGTTTGGGGGCGTTGTCGCCCTCGGAGGTCTCTTCGTCGTTGAGCTCCTCCGGGCTAGCTGCGCCGTCTCTGGGATCTGAGGCGTCCAGAACGTCGCTCTCTTCGTCCGGATCGTCCATGTCGTAGGAGGCGTTGTTCTCCGGTTCGTGCGGCGTTATCACATTTCTACTGTCCACAACTCCGCTTTTATTTACATAGTACCTATGTCCGTCTTTAGTAAGCAGAAGAGTGGAGTCTTTGTCCTTACTTGATGATACGGAAGCGTCTTCTTCGCTCATGATAGCAGCAAACAAACAAACGACGCTACAGCGACCTAGCTAGTAGCCCCACGTTGGTTAGCTAAAACAGCTACTCGCTTACATTTACTGGTCCATTTTTCCAGTATTAGACGTTAAATTAATTTCTAAATAAAAGGTCATAAATATTCCAGTATTTCAGAAGCAAATGTCATAGTTTTTACTTCTATTGGTTTAGCCAGTCACCGGTCAGGAAACATGAAAATCTTCTTCTTCTTCTCTGCTTTAGTTTCATGTGTTAAAGCGACACCTAGTGGTCAAAATAACATATGCACGCCAGTTACGGGCAACTACGACCAACTTGTGAGATGTTTACTATAACACTGTTGCCTGCTGAAAGGGCAATGCCCCTACAATCCTACTTATAGATTTACCCTTTCCTAATCATAGTGGATGCTTATGTTCACAATATTCCTGTCACATGGACACATTAGAGTTCTACTATGTGTAAAAATAGACTAAAATAGACACCTTTCTTGAAAAGGCTTGATGGAAGAGGGGTATGCTAGGAAGCATATTACTTGGATGTTCTGGCCTTGCTCCCGCAGTCAGTATGAATTTAAATTCATACTTTCAATACATTCATCTTTAATTTACAATTTATGTTCGCAGAAGGTTTTCAAATAACCTCTCTGCACATTTTCTACTCAAATCCAGACAGGATCCATAACAAGTACCACCAAGCATTCAAAAGTTAATAATAAGCAGAGGGCCTGTGTGGAATAAGTGTAATTATTTCATAGAAAACAAAACTGACGTCTGTATGGATAAAAAGTTAAGCCAAGGACTGAGTTGTGTATTTGGTACAGACCGGTAATGAAACAAAAGTCCTATAAACAGGAGCTAAACACAAAACAAAAGACTCAAACAGTTTGATTTTAAACATATTTTAATTATTACTATAGTCATAGACCATTGTTGAACAGAGGTACAGGTATTGGTATTGCAATGGACTGTAATACAGTGGGTCAGCTGTGAGAGCACTTTGGTAAACCACGTGTTTACTTGCGCTGGAGAGCACAAGTTCATACTGATCTGGTCAATATGGCAGCACATTACCGCATATGTGCAATGATGAGAATAAATACAGAGAGTCTGACTGGTGTGACGACTGCAAGGAGATCATCTGCAAAAAACAAACAAACAAAAAAACCTAACACTTCTCTGTATTTCTCTCACTCATCTGTCTTCTCATCTCTTATCTCACATCAGTTTAAGGGAAACCATATTACTGGCTGCTTTTCTGAAGAAAAGAAGTGACATCATTCCCAGTAGGAGGCAAAGTTGATGATCTCTTCTTCATATCCACTACCGATCCATCCAACTCACCCATGCTTAACGCTTCACGTCAACCTGATGATCTCCTCTAGTTTATTATTTTTTTCTTCGCTGACTGACTGATATGCATGTATGACTGATTTTGTTGTATTTTTTTGTATTATTATTGTACAATTCTCATAGACTGACTACTAGTAAAGAAATATACTGTATTGTGAACTATCAAAATAAATAAAATTGTTATTTACACAACATATAAACAATACTTCATCACTAAACTGTTTCTTTTATAAGAATAGGCTACTGTATGTCTGTCATGCTTTCATCTGAAGAAATGAAGCCATGAATGAGGTTGTACAGAGCTGAAATAAATTCTCCTCCACCCTTTTTTGCTGTACTGCTGGTTCTCTGGCATCCATACTGTCATTCTCTCGATCATGTCTCACTGCACCTAGACTGCAGTGCAAATGTGCAAATAGGCACCTCTTGTGAACTGTTAACTGTGCGCCTTCTCCATCTGAAAACGTGTCTGTGTAACCATATACTTGAGCTGCACCAACCATAGCTTGAACATGTTGATGAAACATGTGTGTAGTGTTCATAAAATATAAAAAGAATTAGCGTGATGATCACTGTGAAAATGTGTGGCTTGAGGACAAATGGGTTCAGATGTCGAGTTTGCTACACAAGCACCAGGATGCTGCTGAGTTTTGTGTATCAAGATGTCGTGAACCGAGCAAGTAACAAAACCAGAAGGAGCAGTCAAATGCACCATTGTCGTCTTAGAATAGCAGTCTGTGTAAAATGTAAACTGTATGACTGCGATCCAACGTTACGGGGGAAGGCAGCGCCGAAACTGTGTTGAGCACAGCGTCACAGCACAATTTCATCTTTTTTTTTTCATCAAAGCCATTTTTAAAACACATTTTGCAACTGAAAAAAACCATAAAATCCTTCCCCAACGTGTTTTAGCTCGCTTTCCAACGTTGTGTTTTCATCACGTCTGCTGTCACCTACTAAAACGTTTCTGCACTCTACTTCTAAGCACTTTGCCATTATTTTAAATCCACCAAGCTCTAAGGAGAAGTCAATAAAAACATTGTTTTTTTTCTATGAAAAAGAGAAATACATATCAAAAAATGCTGTGAATTAAAGTATGAATAAATAAGGTTCAATAAAACATGAACATTGGTCCATATTCTCATATTGCCTTGTAGAGCTGTTCCGCCTTGAGGAAGTTTCCATGTCGAGCCCGGATCATCACTGAAGGGTAAAGCCCTTTCTTGCTCCTTGAGCTCTACAACATGTGCTCAGATGAGAAAATGTTAAAAAGAAATCAACAAAAGTCTTTCACCTCACTCTGGCTTTTCCCTCTTCCTCTCGATCCCTGTTTCTTGTTGCCTCTTGAATCTTTCTCCCAACCTCTCTAACGTCTTCTTATCCACCCCTTGGTCCATCTTTCCTCCAGGTTTGGAAAGTTGGATTCAGGGAAGTGTGAAGTTCTCTGTTGATATTTTTATTTCTTTTTTTCAGAGATACTGGGAGAAAGGGGTTGACACCTCTTCCTCCTCCTCCTCCACATGCAGAGGGAGGAGCTGGATGAGGATTTTCCCTCGCCGCCTCCTCCTTTGCACACCTTCCTCCTCTTCCTCCCCCTACTCCCCTTCGCCTGCTCTCTAGAAGGGCGAGCTGGGGGAGCAGGCGGTGCTGGCTGAGCTGATGGAGATGTCATCAGAGTCGGATGGGAGTCTGGGGTCTGGGGAGGGGTCAGAGCAAGTGTCAGGGGTCAGAGAGGGAGGGGCCGTGGGCAGGCCAGGGAGGCAACTGGGGGGCTCCGCCCGTAGTGTTTTTGTTGTTGTTGTTACTGAATTCACAGTTGGCATCATCTGCAGCGGCAGCGGTTTCACATCCGGGTGGCATCCTCGTCCGAGAACCTGCCTCTCCTTATCAAGAGGGGTGGCCTGAAAAAGAGAGGAGAAGGAGGAAAAGGTGAGGATCTGATCTGTCTGCTGCACAGTGGATTATCCAGGAAGGAGGAGCAGAAGAACTTTGCACATGTTCATTAAGTTACTAATGAATATTTAATTGGACATTAACAAGGAAGTGAAAAACCATGGACACTGACAATTGTTTCTTCTTTTCTGAAATGTTATGTTTAGCTGTGCATCTGAGGAACAGTCTATCTAAAAGTCCACTAATTTTCCACAATAAATCTCTCGGATAAAGGCAGGTTCGACATTCTTGTTTAATTTTTCAGGAACAGTAAATATTATAAAGAGGAGATTCTGGATATCACTTTTTAATCACAACACAAATCAGAAACATCTGCACAAGTTCAGGTCCATCATGTTCAGGACTTCTAATCAGTCAAACTAAACTCTGTCGTGCTGGAAAACTGGGAATCTCAACCCAAATAATTCATAAATTAAGTCACTGTTAATTTTTTCCAGCCTATTTTTAATTCCTCTAGTCAGTGTCCATGTTACTTTAAGTTCTGTGACCTTTATAACAATGCACTTTGTGGTCCTCCTAAATCAGGGGACACAGTCACACAAGAGGAGTCAGGTAATGTGAGCTCAGTAACGAGCCCTGGTGTTTGAGGAGGTAACCAGGTGAGGGAGCATCACATCAGACAAAAACATCACAGCAAATCACTCAGACAAGCAACACCGCAGGGTTATTTCTTTAGAAAGGGTTCATTCACAAATGAACTGTGCAAACGAGATGTGCAGGAGAATCATCAGCAAGGGTGATTCTAATTGGGCACGTCGTTACTCACACACACTAAAGAAAAGCAGGGGACACCGATAAAAAGGTGACCCAACACAGAGGACAAGGCTTTAACCGGTGACACACAATAACGATGCAGGTAATGCAGGAATGAAATCTGTGTTTACAGCGAGGGATGAAAGGAGAGAAGCAAAAAGCCGAGCACAGAAAGTACAACATGAGGCTGTCAAAGCAGCACAGCAGCAGCCAGTCAGCGGGGCAGCACGCAAAGGAGGGGGAGACATCAATTTTAGAGACACTGTTTTGGTCTGTTTTGATTTCTCGCTGATTTGTGACCCAGTCGTGTCTCTATGGAAACCTGGCGTACCTTATCCAGTACATGGCCGGGTGCTGGTAGAAATCCAACGACCCAGATCTCTGCATAGAAAAGCTGTCATCCAACTGAACAACAAAAGAGAAATCGGCACAATCAATCTAAACGCCACGTGAAAAACTTGCTGATTTCTCTACAAACTGATGCAACTCAGTGTAACAGCTACATCTTTAGATGGTTGCTAATGGTTACTTACAGAAATGACTGACACTCCTGCAGTGGTGTCAGTGCCTTTTGGGCTGGTGTTGAAGTGCTTCTTTATCTTTCCTGCTACCGACAGCTGGTGTTCATTCTCGCACAGACCCTCGTCCTGGATTAGACAAATGAGGAGAGAGGAAGTAAATTCAGTGTTTTGGTGAAAACAAAGGAAATGAACAGATTTACTGACACTGTACTTACAGTGACCCAGGGGTGCTCCAGCACCTGGAGGGCAGTGTATCTCTTATCGACCTCCACCTCCAGCATGGATCGAATCAGCTCCTACACCCCCCAAAAAGTAAAAAGCAGTTAGTTTTTTACTCTGGATTTTCTATAACATGTAGATCCATCCACACCAATCAGACATACAGCAGATATTTACCATAGCGGTCTCTGACACATTGTCCCAGTAGGGCAGAGGAAATTCTAGCTGTCCCATTAGTATCTGATCAAAAAGCACTTCTTGATCGTCACTGCTCCTGCAAAAAAAAAAGTTCACATGAATGGGTGCATCAACCAAATATTAATTAGCGAGTCAACAAATAAAGGTGCAATACTACTGCTGACCAGTAGAGGGTCCTGCATAACACACTTTCAAGAAAGGCGCTAAAGCAGAGGGAGAAATGTAGGGTAGGGCTTGCTGTTAACTTACCCCCGAAAGGGTGGGAAACCACACAGGAGGATATAGGTGATGACTCCAGCTGCCCAGATGTCAACCTTAAGACCATACCTGAAAAAAAAAAGAGGTTAAATCAAAGCAAACATAGAGAAAACGTGCAGAGCATGACCTTTAAGGCAAATATCTACTACTGTAAATGGATTAAGACACGACAGATATGTTGGCCGTCATAGTGATCATACTTTGATCTTAAAGGTGCCTGCTAAATGCAGCTGCAGCTCTCACCCTGTTTCTGCAATGATTTCAGGTGCTACATATGTTGGGGTCCCGCAGACAGTGTAGAGGGGTCCGTCCACCACGGTCGCCAAACCAAAGTCTCCCAGTTTGAGGCTCTTGCTGCCATCTGCATGTTCGTACACCTAAACACACAGGAATGCAAAAATGTTTTTAAAAAAAGAAGCAGGATCATAATGTACAGCATTATTATGAGGGCAACAAACAACAAACAAACTTAAAACACATTATGTGATGGGGGTTGCTATTAATAATTTCACCACTCAGTGTGTTGTTTAACAGCTCACAGCTGTAGCTACTCTATCTGCCCTACGCCTACAGACACAGACGAAGCGAGCGACCAGCTTTTTAACGCAGCAAAGCATTTATGTGGCCAAAAATAAAACTAATGTTAGTGTTGCTGGGTGTCTGCTACATGGATGGGGTAATCTGCATGTCATTACCTTCAAAAAGTTACATGAATAGAAGGCCACTGTTTTTTTTTAACCATTCAAGGCTTTCTTATTTCGTTGGAGAGAAAAAGCAAAACAGGAAATTGGCTGACTAGGTTTAAATGTGGCCACTAAAAAGCTGGATTCTGAAGTTTGACTCCTGCCCAGACAATCTCTAGTAGGGGGGCAAAGAGCGGTATTTAAAGTTAAGCAAGGACGATGGGGAGTTTGACAGAAGGGAGAAGGAGGGAAGGAAAGAACAAACGAGGGAGGCTGGAGAAGGAGCGTGCAGAAGGTGTGAGGGCAGCAGGGATGAGTCATCTCTCTGCTCTGGGAGGGCCCCGTAGTGAGTGATATTACTTCACTGATCATTCAGAAAGGCGGCGGGAAAGGAGAGGAAGTGCACCAGTGCCGCACCAAGTTACATGTATGCAATCTGCGTGACGTCCACTCACCAGCAGGTTTTCTGGTTTGATGTCTCTGTGGACAATGTTGAGGCTGTGAAGGTATTTGATGGCGCTGGCCAGATTGTGGAGCATGCCGCTGGCGTCTCTCTCTGTGTATCTATTGGCAGAGGTGATGGCATCGAACAGATCTCCCCCCTGTGGACAAGACATGATGGACGGGTCAGTATTAGGAGATGTCACAAGAGTTTGGTTGGTGTTTTTTGCACCAGCAGAACAGATTCACTTGCAAATTTTCACAGCTGCTTGCCTTTTTTTTTTTCTGAAAAGAGGCTAAAAACTTCATTTAACCACAAGACTTTTTTGTCTGCTCAGCAGCAGCAAGGAGGTGGGGGGTAAATCCTAATTCTTGACCTTGCTTGAAAGACGACCCCCCCCGCGCGTTAATATTTCTTTTCATTTTTGTCATTTTTTAGGCTTTTCTCAGTCTCTTTTCTCTGATTTTTCATCCTGTCCGAATCTCCCTCTCATTCCCTCTGCGTTTCTCTCATTGAGTGGACTAAGTGGAACAGAGGCTTAAAATAGTGCTGAATCTCCCTCTATCCTCGAACAGCACAGCACACTGTAAGGCTTTGACCTGCTCGTTGGCAGCTGTTTCAATATGAGAGTTGTCAAATGCCAGCTCAGGCTTTAGCTACTACATTTCACTTATTTTTCTCTGCCTCCGCTATCGGAGGCCCAAAAGTACACGAACATGAATATACTGCTGTAAATTTGGGGGCATTCTGCAAAGTTTTGGGACGTGGCTGCTGAAGTTAGTCAATGAGAAATTAAGCCAAAAGATGGGATTTACATCAGTCCTTTGTAAATCCTCTCCTCACTGTTTTTTATGGGTATCATTTCCGCTTGTAAAAACAGGAATGAGCCTTCCCTGGAATTGCAACACAATTTTGTCTGATCACATTATTGCCTCATTATTGCTTTTCCACAGTTTAAACTAAAGGACTTGAACTGAGCAGGACCAAGCAAAAGAACACTCATTTTCTCTCTCTCTTTCGTTCTCTGCGCCTATCCTCTACTTTCAATTCATCTATCTCTCTCTTTCTCTCGGCCCCTGTTATTTTAGCAGCGACTCTTTTCACCCCATTCATCCACAGCCTCCTCTTGATCCTCCTACTTTGGACATGCTCACAAGTACACACACTTCTTCCACAAATTGCCTCTCATCTATATTCTGTAGTACTCCACATCACAGCACGAACAGATGGATCACATTCCTGGCTCCTGAATTATGCACAAACATTTCTTGACTCAGAGAGCGAGAGAGAATGAAGAACGCGAGCGCACGAGCACTCGGGGCCACTGGCGGATTCACTCTAGTCCCGAATTGTGTGACTGGTTAGAAAAATTCATCATTTGCTTCACAGGCTGAATGCCGCTCCTCTGTCTCTGTCACTATTACTGCCTCCCTGCTCCTCTAAGTCGTAGATTTGAGATAATGATGATCACCCTTGTATTGTAAGAGAATACACCCATCCGTTATCTCAGCTTGGCAAAATGTCACTGCTCGTTCCTAACTGGAGCAGATGGTGCACAAACTCATAAAGTAACAGTGTGCAAACATGGCCACACACCTTGACCAACTCCATGACCAGGTAGAGCTCGTTGTAAGTGTCAAACTCCTCGATGAGTAAGACGATATTTGGATGTTTGACCCGGCGAAGTATGGCCACCTCGTTCTGGATCATGTGCTCCTGGTAAAAAGAAGTTCAGGTGTTCAGCCAAGTGGAAGACATTCAGTAAAGGAATCAAGAGTAGCCTGACATTTAGAAGATTTTCATTTTATGTATGTCACACCTTTGTTGGTGCCTCTCTACAGCAACTCAGTAGCACCCTGGAGTACATTTCTACATCCATCCCATAAAGGTTGCACATTAACCCGAAGATATCAGCGGGTCTTTAAGCAAAACAGGGATATTACTTTAAAAATGCAAAATATTCTTTTATGGGTGGAAAAAAATGAGCTATCAAAACTGAATTTCAATTCAATTCAGTTTTTTCAAATGATGCCAAATCACAACAATAGTTAAAGGCCCTTTTAACTGTAAGGTAAAGACTCCACAACAGTCCAAAGAAAATAGAGAAAACGCCAACAATCACATGACCTCCTTTGAGCAAACGTGTTGGTGACAGTGGGAAGGAAGAACTCCCTTTTAACAGGAAGAAAGTTCCAGGCTCAAGAAGGGGCGGCCATCTGCCTCACCCGGATGGGGTGAAAGGAGGAAGAATTTATCCTCTGAAGTTAGGATTATGTGGAGCTTTAGCCTTCTTGACGTGTCAGTACAATTTTTGCCTTTTTTGGGTCGTATTCGGTGGATGTTTGTTTACCTTGCCTCTGCATTTGCCCTTGTTGATGATCTTCAGAGCGTACTCTCGTCCTGTGGAGTGCTCCGTGCATTCCCGGACGACTGCAAAATTCCCATCTCCTAACATTCGCCCCACCTTGTAACGGTCTGATATGTAGGACGGCACAGCTGGAACCTCATTGACTAGAACTTCAGCTGCAGAGAAGAAGCACTGGTTTTTAGAGGGAACATAAACTGGTTTACACAGTTTAGCACCATAGAATATACACAGATATATGCTGAGGAAGCTATGATGTCTGATTATCAACTGTTGTCTAACCAGTCTCTTCAAGACATAAAGGTAGATTTAAAAACCTTCACAATTAAACAAACTGTACTATGATTGCAGACTTGAAATGTAAAAATAAGCAAATAGCAGAAACCTTTTAAATCTAAAAGATTCATATTTTTACAGCCAGTGAGGTCTGCAATTACATCACACAGAAGACTTTTTTGTTTATAAATCAAGATGCAAATAGGCATGATTTGTCGATGCTCAGCTAAGTGTTAATGAGTCTCATGAATCTGTTTAAAAGATCTATAAGGGGGGAAAAAAAAGGTCCTCTGGATACTTTTTAAAAAAAATAAATAAATAAAATCAAAGATGAAAATGTCACATATGAGACCAAAAATCCTCCAGCCTTTCAAAGCAGTGTCACAGAGAGGTGAGTAAGACAGCATAAGAACGGAAAGTTGCCGTAAGCATCGTGTACTAATCATGCTATGCAGGCAAGGGACGCGTCAAAGGTCACGCGCATGATTCAGACATGCATGATATTTGCAAGCACAAAGCAAGCTTTTTTTCCTCACCTTCAGGAACGAGTCCATCACCATCTTCCACTGGGCTCGAACCTTTAGTGGAAGACAGAGAGGTGGAAGAACCCTGGGACCCCTGCAGAGAAAGGAACAGGGTAGAGAGCAGGATGAAAAGGGGTTTATTACTAATCTGCGGCATTACCCAAAATAGTTTGCAATCCATAATCACGATAAAAAAAACCCAGACAAACACAATCACAGTCCCTTCTGCTACAGTCCTAGCCAAAACAAATATGTATGTTCAAAAATAGACAAAGGAACACTGTGTAACCCGCCTTATCCTCACAACAGCCCTACTGCTGTGGCTGTGTTTGCGCATCTTTCTGATGTAATGCCCTGTGCTGTGTCTATACTGTACTCATGAAAAAAAAAATCTGAAAACGAGTCCGAACAGACTTACTTGATCTGCATATAAGCCAGCAACCCCCCTATGTGTGTCTATATCATAGAGATGATTGCATCCAAATAAGCTCCTTTCCATTCACCTCACAACTGGAAGTAATTCTTCCCTGTTTTCTCACTCCTTACGATTACCTTTAATAAATCATAAAAACATGGGCTCCGGTGACAGATGCCTTTCATCTGGATAGTAAGTGGGGGGTCATTAAATTGAAAGAGAGAGGATGAGAAGAGGCGTCTGCATCTATCTATCTAAAGACAAAAACTCATTATGCCCTCCACCTTGTAACCTTCTGTCTGGTTGTCATGGAAGCAACAAGGATGGAGAGTATCTAGTCGGGACTGTAAATGGGAATCTACCCCTCTTGTATTTCTGTGTCTGTTCCACTCCTGTGCACCTTTCTCTTCTCCTCGCTGCCAAACTCTGTTGTTTTGCTTCAGTCTTTTACTGCACTAGAAGACTTTCATCCTGTTTTGTTTGGAAGGTGGCGTTTTTCACGTGTTTGGTGGATTTTACCACCTTCTTTACTCTTTACTAATCTCTCCTCTGCTCAAATCCGTTCTCGTGGCTTACAGTCAGTCTTCGGGGTTGGGGCGTTTCCAGTGCTTGAATAAATCCACTAGCTGCAGCTGGAAGACGCAGGCTGGCCAGTGATGGCAACACGCACCATTGCAGTTCCTCTAAAATATAAGTGGAGCAACGTTGCCACTGTGCATTATTAACAAGTGCAGTTTGCTCTGTAGATGGTCTGTGTCTGTGAGCGTCATGCATGACTCAACTACATAATTATGGACGACCTCTCCAGGACATGACACATTTTTCCCATTACATGTGTAGCCAGATGTATTTTGCTGCTTTCCGTTGTATAACAATCGCTCATCAATAATCCTTTTCACCGTGATAGACTGCTGCCTGCTAAGCTTCACATTTGCTCTTTCAAGTCACTGAGCTGGATCTGCTGTCTGTGATTTTGTTTGATAATTAATATTGGACTTGGACCCTATTGTTCAAACACAGTGACTTCTGGCTCCAAAAATTGACAACATGACGATATCCTTAAAATCAAAACTGAGTCTTAAAGATATGTTTAAACTCTGTGGGTGATGTCACGGCGTTTAATTCCATCTTTTACATACAGTCTGTGATTAAAAGCTCAGAAAAGAACATTTGTGTGTGATCTTGAATGTCTTTTTTTTAAGTGAAAGAGAAATGTCCTAAGCATTTGTAAATCCCGGGGAGCTTGCTGTCCTGGCAGACTGGGATAAAAGCCATGCCTGTAATGACTTGGATCTGAAAACTATTTGCAGAGCTGATCTGCCCTGTATCTCTGCCACAGTAGCTGTCTGCTCTTTTACTCATCTCAGCTGCTGTGACCTGAAAACCACGTAGGTAAATGTAGCTGTGAGTCAGGCTCAGTTTGGTTTATGTAATGTTGTTGTTGGCTGGGCACTCATCCCGGAACAAGAAAACCCACTTAATACCCATAAAGCCAATGACCCTCCTGTGCTTTATCTCAAAAAACATCCTTATTCTGTTCTTTTATTTCCTCATCCCAACTTGGATATTTACCTCTCTTGTGCTCTTATCGCACATCCAGTGCTGTCCTCAGCTCGCTTTCTCATTTTGAACTCCTTTCTCTCTCTCTCTCTCTCTTTCTCTCTCTCTCTCTCTCTCTCTTTCTCTCTTTCTCTCTCGCTTCCTGCCACTGAGGGAAACAAAATACTGTTGCTATGGAAACTGCTCACAGACAGGAGAACAGCAGCTTCCAGTGTAGAGACGGTAGCCTATATATGGGCACTTCCTGTCTGCGGGCTGAGCGATAGGTTCAGCCTTCTATGAAATTTGAGTCTCTCGTTTCTGTGTGGAAAACGATGAGACAGATGGGGTGACAGACAGAGTGGGAAACACAGAGAAAGACAGAGAGAGGGAGAGAGGTGGAGTGATGAAGCAGCAGAGAAATGTATGGAGTCTGGTCTGGCTGATATTGATCATGAGATTTGGCAGGAACTGTCTTGTTATTGTTAGACACTCCAGCTTTCTCCCTGTTGCACAATACACTATTCCTAGCTCTACATCTCTACACCTTTTCTGTAACTATGACTCACAACGACACTGACAAACCTTTTACATCATGACTGGAGCCACTGCTCTTCAGACCTGCGAGGGCAACACTCAGCAACTGCATACTGATCAGCTCATAAATAGGAATTAAACAGGATGTCCACAGTTGACCTTAAATGTGGAGCATCATCTCAGAAGTAGGTTTGCAGCAGAAAGAAAGAATCATTCATTCCGCGGCTGGAAAGGAAATCTGTCAACTGTAGAGCCGAGCATTAAAAAATGCACCACACATTTACATAACCAACTTAAGCGTAATGCCAGCTTTGTCCTTCATGCCTCTGTTTGAATCTGATTACAGCACACATAGCGAGGCTTTCTTGGTCTCTGTCCCTCAGGCTGCCAGAGCCAGACCTCTTATTTTTGCTTTCCCTGTCAGGCAATATCCAGCAGAAGCAAGATTTATTAGTGTTTACTTTGGTGGTAAAAATCGAATAAGATTTGATGCTAATGGGACTTTTTTCCTTCTTGTTGTTCCTCAAGAACACAGGGTACGGGAGACGGACAGAAAACATAATCTACTTGACTTTCATGAAAAGATCAAAACCATTTGGGGGATTCTGTCTTTCTGCTCTGCCAGTTGGACACAGTGAAGGTTCCTAATCACAATCCGTATGGACTCCAATCCCAGGAAATCACAGAAACGTGATTAAATACTTCAGGGAAAATTAAAGAAGGGAAGAAGGGGAGATTTCGGCTGCCCCGCCCATATATATATGAAATTGAGAGTAAAAGCAGTGAGCAATGAAAGATAACTGCTCCTCTGAGACTGTTTGTGTTGTAATAGCTGTTCTGCTCTGCTGAATGCCCACAGCAGGCAGGTTTAACAAAGGAGAAGCACTGATAAATGTGCTACAGAAGAAAATCGCCATCCCCACGGCTGTACTGATGGAACATGAGGAACATGAGTGACGGTGTCGAGTTAAGAGAATAAAGACCACGAAATGAAAATGAAATGACAATGAATTTAATGAGGACGTCAACAAATGAAAATGAACACATTTAGCAAACAAAAACAAAAATGAGCCAAAAAGAGAGAGCAGCATCGCACGATGGAACCACGACAACATGTGGATAATTGACATGTTTACAAAAATCCGCATTAATGGAAAGAGCCAAAATTATCATCAAGCCTTTTTAGATGCGAGTGCTATTTGAATCATTAGTGAGTAATTTGGATAACTGATGTTTTTCTGTGGTTGTTGTTTTTGTGCGTGTGACAAACAAACAAAAGACAAAAAATGATTCTTGAAAAAAAGGCAAAAAACACTCTTCCGGGTCAGTCCACCGTGTGATGCGGCCGGTCTCTTTGACAGTCACAGAAACAAGCCAACTAATGACATCAAACACAACACATAATAAGAAATATATTACAACCAAAAATAACAAATACAATCTTCAGCAACAATACACTCGTGGGAATGAGACGAGACATTTATAAGAAGTTCACGATGCGCACTTTCTGTTTCAGTCGGCACTCTTCCTTTCACACATACTCGCACACAAATAATTTCAAAATGAATCACCCGACACATAACATGAACGCTGAGAATGAGAGACGGAGCATGCAATTCAACAGATTACGGATGTGAATGGATGAACGGTGAGAGGAGGATGAAGGTGATACTACAGATAACAATTAGCACTCTGTTTCTCTTAGACTCTCCTAAATGCATCACAGCTGCTGCGACACAGACCTTCTGTTAGTGTCGCCTTCGATCTGTCACTCTCTCCTCTTAATGCATTGTCTTTTTTTGTATGTTTATTTGTTTTCACACCAAATGGAGCGGACAGACTGCGAAGAGCGCTGACCTCGGTGGCACATTGAATTATGCCTCAGAGCTGATATTGACAGAAAACACTGTTGTGGGTGCGTGCCTGTGTGGAATAATGTGTCTATAGATCTTATATGAAAATAAAACTAATACGGAAATTTAGGATGCTCTCAGTGCTTTCACTGAGGCAAGCGGCCTTGAAAAGCTCATAAGAAGTGCAAAGTGGAGGGCGGGGGGACGGCGGGCAGGGGGACGATTTTGTGAATGTAGACCAGACTTTCATGCGTCGCTTGACAATTAGTAAAAATGGGTCACAGAGAGCATCAAATTTGCAAAAAAACCCCAAAACACCACACAAAATGTGTGAGTGTGCATGAAGCTGCTGTGCACAAATTTTCTGTACAAAAGTGTTCCACTGAAGTGTGCACGAACATGAAAGTTACTATGCATGCACCTTCTTCTGAAGACGTGTGCATGCAATGGTGCAATGCTATGTTTGTAGTCTCTGCTTGGGGAAATAGGTTGTGATGGTCCTAGATGTGCTAGCAACCTACTTCAAGCAGCAAAGTGCCTCTAAGTGTTTAAATGCATGGTCCAGCGAGGTGAACTGTTAAACACAGCACTCACAGTAGGTCACTGAGCCCCTGTGGCTGCTTAGGAAATAGATTTTTCATTCTTTTATTTGTTATATTTAACTTGCATTTTACCACCTAAACCTCATATCTGTGTTATTTTAGCCACTCTAAGCCTCAGATTGCTCTTCAGGGTTGGTAATGTTACTTGCTAGTTTTAAAGGGGTGCAGAGTTGTAATTATTCGTGCGGGTTTACACGCAAATCACAAAGAAGGAGAGGAGGAAATGTGCAAATTAGGGTCTTGGACTTATTGCCTCCTTCTCAAAGAAGATTAAATAACATCTATAAGAGAGATGATGGAATATAATTTCTCCCCATGAGGTTAATACCCTTTGATATGGGGAGGCGAGAGGGAGGGGGTGGGTGTGAGAATGACTGGGAAACGACTGTAAAAGAGAAATTAGAAGGTGTCGGGGAGGGAAGGGACAGGGACAGGGAGGAAATCTGTAACAGGGTAGATAGAAGAAGTAAGAAGTGGAGAGGAGAATTACATCGTAACATGGCTGAAGAGCGTGGAGCTGCAGAGTGGAAGGAAGAGATAATGGCCTGTGAGGCTTCTTCCCCTCCTTACAGCAGTCAAGCCATCGCGGGCTTGCTGCAGAGGCTGGAATAATCCCTCTTTGAGAAACAGACACTCAACTAGAATGTAACTGCTGCAACAGTGAGCTCTGAAATGGGCTAGAAAAGAAGGTTTAAGGAGGTTACGAAAACCAAAGGATAGGTGGTGTGTTTGCGTTTATAGCACTGGATTTTCATATTGTGGAAGAGGCAGAAAGTGGGCGGGGTCATTTTCTACAATGACTGCCCCACATTTATTTAACCAGAGCAAAGAACATAGAAAGGGAGGTAGAGCTTATAAATGTGTGCACGAGCCAGAACATTTCCTCTCAACACTGTAAACTATAATGACCCAGTTCCATAATTCAGATGAATGTGGAAGCCCTGTTATAGCTACAGCTCATAGCTGATCTGTTATCCTGGGTTACCTTCAGATTGCGTCAATATAACTTCTCACTGATGGATTCAGACTCTCTGCCATTCATCTATGTTTCCGGATTCACAGAAAATAGCACAGGAAAACCCAAGGAATGGACTCTTTAACCTACGCTGACTGAGGATACGGTCATGCATGAACACACACACACACACGCACACACACGCACACACATACTTATATAAAAGGTAATGACCCCCTCTGCTTTCCTCCCATAAAATCCGCCTGTGTAAATAAATAGTTGCAACATACATCATAGCTGCATCCCTGCAGTCAGGCAGAACGTGCAGTGAGTTTTAATCAGTGCGCATTAGAAACACACGAAACCTGCGAGTAGAAGCCTGTGTGGATACACATGTATCTGTATTTCGGTATTCTAGAGGCTGAGGTGAACTGAGCTAGCGAGTGTTTGTTTAGGAGGGAGAAGACACTAAAACAGCAGTCGGCTTAAGCGCAAATTTAAGAGATGCTGTCAGAAAGCTGAGTGATTGGGATTGGAGCTGTTCTTAAAAGCTCACCCACATCACTGTCAAAGACTGGATTAACAAATACTTTGATATAAGCATCTACACACACACGCGCGCGCACAGTGTACACGAAGTCGAGATATTTAATTCGAAGTTTTCCCTTTGAGTTGCATGCTCCTGCTCTGCACAGCAGTAATTTTATTTGTTAGCTACAGAAAACAGACTGCTATTAAGGTACTTTAACAGGCATACATGACAAAAAAGGGCTTAAATAATCAAATAGACTAGTATAAAATGTATTTCTACATCATTTACACAACTCGACATGTACAAAATAATGTGACTTGATTAAAAAAACAAAAGAAATTCTATATCAGAAGTGTGTACTGATTGCATCTTTTTGCTGAAAGATGGTCAAATGCAATGCAATGCCCAGCAGGTGAAGAAGAATGCAATCCAATTTCTGGAAATTAAAAACACACTGCAGACTGGGGCAGACTGCCAATCAGCCAGTCTCATCTTTATATCAGATACTGCACAATTTACCGACTGACAGATCAGGTGTTCTCAACAGGTCGGTGTTAACGTTATTCAGTGCTGAGCCACCAAAGGCAGACAGAGTTCTTTATGAGGGACAGAATATGTGCTATAATATCCAAATGAAATGAACATTTGCCTTGCTGGAAGCCCAGAGCAGCACTGGGTGAGGTCTGAAATACTAAAGATGCTGGGAAGTTGTGCTTTCTTCATAATCTAGTGATTCTAAGATGTAGTCGGCCTATGCTCAGTCCCGGCTTTGTCCATTTCCTGAGAAAATAGAATAATTGTGTTATAAGTTTTGTGATTTGGAGTCACTAAATGCTACGGGCTGACTCTTAGTGCGTGCTTTGCGAGCGTGCTCGTGTATTCCCATTCTTACCCTACGTCGGCTAAGGCTGCCTGGACTGGTTGGGGAGGGGCTGGGAGATTTTCCCGAATGAGGAGTTGACAGCTGACTGGCCGGCGTCCCGTTCACTGGAGGGAGAAAAGAAAGGAGAGAAAAAACGGAGCAGGATGGATGAGAGTGGAGCGACCACTTTAAAAAACAAACAAACAAAAAAAAACCACATAAATATTGTAATAGATGACTCCTTAAATGAAAATGCCTATTTTTTTAGAATAGCTATATTAGTGTCTAGCAACAGCCTACACTTCCGCCCTCAGCATCTCTCCATTAACATGAATGAGGCAGAGGAAGAGGAGAGCAAGGGAGAGAGTGAGGGAGAAAGATAAAGAAGAGCACCGAAGTCCACACTAGTTTTTTTTCTTTTTTCAGTCTAACAAAACAAACCCAGCAACAGCATCTCATTAAACAAGAACATACATTAATCAAGCTCGCACACCAATCCTGTGTGCAGTTTGGCAGGGGGAGGAAAAGAAAAATCCAGGAGCATCATTAACCGGCAAAAAACCCACCAGCCTGTATTTCATCTTACTGAAAACATGACTTATTGTTTCTTGGCAACAAGAGGCTGCTTGGAGAATACAAAAACGGTCAGAGACGCAACTGAGTTCAGCTGAAGGCATATGTCATCTTCCTGAAGAGATTCAGAGCAGAATTCAGAAAACACTACAAGACTTAATACAAACACCCCTTTTTTAAAAATGCGGTTTAATTTCCTCTCTATGGCTGCCAGCACTGAGCTCTGTTTATATTGGCATTGAGATATAAAGAGCTCCAGCATGTAAAGAGTTCCTATTATTTGTAACGTTCACCTAAATACAATTTCAGCCCAGCTCACAAGTCTGTGTATTTCCTGCTGAGATCAAAGAACTTTCTGAATTATTTAAGACAAAGGAGGAAAGCACAAAAGAGACTAAGATATAACATCTGCCGCTGTATCACACGTATCATCGGCATCATCATCATCATCATTATCATCATTAAAACATAAAAAAATAAAGAAACCCTTCTCCTAAAGCTCTTCATTGATGAAATTCAACATCACGGCGTTACGCACACAGGCAGACACTCCTCCTGGTTACACAACAAAAGCATTAACATTTTAACGGCAGCTCTCACTGACCTCTTACCAGAAAAATCCCTACACGACACTTTACAAAGTCAGCAGCTTGGCATGTGTTGCGGTGACACGGCGGACACAATCAGAGGTGTCCAAAAATGATCCGATCCAGGGACAATTCAAGTTTTACGTTACCCGGGGAAATGGTATTATAAAAGCTGCATGCATTACAGGGGTTTATTTCCTGGATGGGATGGTTTCCTACCTTCCACTTCCAGCATGATGAAAAGCACAGTGATAATCCAAAATGGGATAAAGAGAGGAGGAGGAAGAACAGCACCTTTGTACTCGCTCCGTCCGAGTGTGATAATAAACTGTGGTGAATGGGAGAGACGGAGCAGGGCTGTAGTGTACTACACAGAGAGGCGGAGAGGCTGCTTGCGCAAACTCTGACGCGCACCAGTGAGCAGAGACAGAGAGAGAGAGAGAGAGAGAGAGAGGAGGGGGGTGTAGTACAAAAAAATGACATCTATATTTTAAATATCTATCCACTGGCCTCCTTGCTTATATGAGACAAGCTGAGAAAGGGGCGGATTAGAACTGATAATATAACTAATGCAGTAGATATAGATCCAACCAAGGAGGCTGTAATGCTCAGGAGCAGCCTGTCCTACTTTAAGAGCTTTACACTTCCTCGTGGAAACATCCTCAGGAGAAATCAAGAACAATAATTCTTCTATTTATTAGAAGTCTCACCCAAAGCAGCAGCCATTGCACCAGCGTCCTCTGCATGTCTTTAGGTTTTATCATTCCTCAAGTTACATGGCCAAACTAGAGGATACTGCAAACAAGATTCACCCAGACCTACTGGAGCTATTTTCTAATTTTGGCTGTAAATGAAAAAAATAAAATCTCATCCTTCAGGAAGCATTTGAATTTTCTCTCTAGCCCAGACTGGTTGAGAAGTTACAGCAAGGTGACACACAGATGATGAAATCTCTTTCTATCAGTGTTCAGCTAACAGTGCCTTATGAATGCCTTGTACTACTATGATACATTAAATATCTCCGTAAAGCTCGTCTTATCTACTTTCAGAAACCGTTTGAGTTTTGTCTCAACAATAACAGGATTATGGTCATTTAAAAAGTGCTTGTAAAATGGGCCCACCTTAGGCTAAATGTTGAAACAACTCCACCACAAAAGCTCTGGAAGACTTTCTGGTAAGACCAGTTAATGGAGAAGTTTGTGGCTGTGATACACAGGCAGGTTTTTTCTCCCAGTATGTGTCGCCAGGTTGTAAAGCGAACAGTTCCAAATGAATTCAGTGTAACTTGTTTTCTTTCTAGGTTCATTTTTCCAGCGTGACTCAACATTCACACATGAGGAGATCCACTGTTGGAGTAAGGATACCAATTTGGCCACAATGCAGCCACAAAAAGACGCTGTTTTTCAGCTTCTTTCACACCTACTGTGTTAAATGCAGCAAGTGTTATGCTTAGAAAAAAAACAACAATAATAATAATATTAATGACAAGTGAGCTGGGCTAGTATCGAAGATTGAAAAGCACCTCGTGTGCTCCTGTCTCCTGCTGAGTGATGCCCTGATTGATGCACTGGCTGCATATTATGTAAGACTCTTGAAAAAAGAAATAAAAACACAGCCTCAGAGTGAATGTGAAGTATATCCAGGAGATCTGTCACTGCTATTGACGAGCAGTGTGACAGTACAATGTTCATTGTTTAAATAACCCATTACACGGAGCCGACGTAAAGCCTGCGAGTTAATTAAAGTGTTTTCGGTTCCTAAGTAGAAAACAAGACAGCACCGTTCTTCATCTGGGAACTGTACATTTCTGTGACAGAGCAGACCAAGTATAGACCAACACTGCCTTTCCTCAAGTCGAGACATTAATGCGTCTAAAAATTCAATTTAATTCACACAAGCATAAAATAATGCCTGCTCAATTATGGTACCCAGCAGCAACACATTCAGCTATTACAAGCTGTATGGGTAAACAAGCACAGTGGTTTAAAACTGTTATTTAATAATGTCAGTATAAGAGAAAAATGTGTGATCTTGATTTTCTACATTGTCATCGGCTCACATCCTCCTCCATATGAGGAATTTGGAAGCTTGTGTGTATCCAGCCTTTATTCTTAGATCCAAATATGCACACTCTGTTCTAAAAATTGAACATTTTCAGCATATTTGAGCAAATTCTATAGATAAAATCATGCATGAAGGCAGGTTTTGGGACAACACAGTGAAACATTACAAATTCTCATATGACTCAATTCTCAATTCTCAAATGACATAACAGAAGTCAATAAAAGCACCAGAGCAGCTCTGTTTCATAACACCAAAGCTGCCTGAAAGGATGTGTCCTTATGCATTTAGTGCTGTTGTTTTGTATCTGTTGCATCCCCTCTGCTCAAAGTACATTCGGGCCTTTCATGATTGGATTTTTCCGAGCAAGAGATGTGTTGAAGGCTGCAGACATCATGTGTTCACAGTTCAGAAGCTGCCGCTGCCAGCAGGGAATCCTCTCGAGACACCCTGCATTTATTTTTGGGTCAGCTGCCCCAAACACTTCAGCGTGAAGTCTCTCCATTCACGAGGAGCCGCTTATGACGGAAAGCACGAGGTGAGACGCCGAGGCAGCGAGAGAGCGATTCTTCCTCACTACATCTGCACTTCTCAGTTAATTTTAGCTGACATGAGGCATCCGAGGAGAGCCGGGGGACAGATGGTGAAATGGAGGGGAGGGGAAGGAGAAACTATGTATGAGTGCAAAATGTTTTCTCACTTTATTTTGGGTTTGTGTGCTTGTGACATCATCTCAGAGCGACGCTCGAGTGACAATGTCAGCCTGAGAAGCAACAATCTGCCGACACACAACCAAAAGACTAATGCTAGATACGACCACCGTCAATACGAAAGGGGAACGAGGCAGCATCCAAGCGACGCATTAAAATTGCAAGGTTGAATAATTTTAAATGGAATTTGTAACATAACATTTAATTTTCCTTCACTTTGATGCCTTCTCGTTAATTTCAAATTATTCTATTTCTGTGCAATTATGATTCATCGGCGAGACAGAGCATGATTCACCTAACAAACATTCAGCACACAAGTCTCTGAGCTTTGATGTTCTTCGGTACGTACAAGGACGGAGAGTTAAACTTCATCTGTGCTGGGAAGCGGGACGAGAAGTTGTTTGTTCTGCATTGATTCAGCATATTTCTCAGAAGGCTTTCTGTTCATGAAAGAGACCAAAGACGACGTGTTTTTCTAGTCTGATAAAGGAACGCAAAGGCTGCACCATCCTTTTTTTGCTCCATCACATATCCAACATAAATCCAATACTCGACAGAGTAGTGCTTTTACATATATTCCATTCACTTTTGTGTGTTGCAGTTTATATGGAGTATAAGCTCACTGTGAGCAATACACAACTGTGACTGCTTTGTTGATCACTATACAAGCGCTGTTTATCACAAATCCTTAGTGTGAACCTTTTAGATCTAATGCTTATTAAAAATAGAATGATTTTTCTGAATAGCTGCTTTCTTCTGAAAACACAGTAAAATTGTTAAAAAGTTAGGGATTAGTCAAGAAAGCATTTTTTCAGAGTGAACCAGACTCGTGGTAAATGGACCGATTCTTATATAGAGCTTCTCTACTCTACCGGAGCACTTAAAGTATTTTATACAACATGCCTCATTCACATAAACACTTTCTTCTATGCTTAAGTTCTTTCTTTCTAACATTCACAAACATTCATACTCATAGCAACTTGGGGTTAGTATCTTGCATATTTGGCATGCAGACTGGAGCAGCCAGGGATTCTTATCAGTAGATGACCTGCTCCACATACTGCACAGCAGGTCTGTAGAGTAGCTCTACCTAATCGTTTGCTGCCTATTCCCACCACACAAGTCACATAACTTCTCCATCCATCCATTACCTTCTGATTATCTAAAGTTGATAAGATGACAAGACAAACCAGATGTGGTACATAATCTCTCCAGTGAGTTTTGGGTGTCCTCCCAGTGAGGGGTGCCTGGAAAACCTCTAATGGGAATTGCCCAGGAGGCATCCTAACCACCTTCTTTCAGCATGGAAGAGCTTGGAGCTTTTCCCCGTGTTTTTTTTTTTTGTTTGGTTGGGGTTTTTTTACACAGTCTCCTTAATGCCCAGATGTGTCTGGGATGCAAGGAACAAAAGCAAATACAGGAAAAAGGTGCTGTGTCCTGGACTATTGGAGTACACTGAACATTTGCATTTGTTTCACAGTTAGCTGTTAGCTGGTGTAGACTTTTGCACATCTATAGTATCTTGCCGCGTCTCAGAATGCAAAGCACACGGGGTTATAGTTTTTTTTTTAGCTATAACTTACAACATACACCTGGTAGCTGGTTGGGATCCTGATTGGATGAGGTTCACACCAAAAACTAACCACTCTGGAGTTCATTTAGAAACGCAACAAGACCAACTCCTCCAAAGGTCTTGCGATCACTGCGTCGACACACCTGCACAAGCAAGCGAACCGCACAAAGTCAGAAAACAAACCAGAGTTTGATTTAAACAGACTAAACACCACACCTGTGCCTTATGTGGATACATTTTAAAAGCTCTGATTTCAGTTTGATTCTCCCGATCGCATTCTTTGTCTCCGTATGAGTGTGCGGTTGTCTATAGCTCGCTTGTTTTGCTTTTCTGTGCCTCTTTAGTGGTGTCCAGGTCTACCCTGCAAACGTGCAGAATGAGGAGCAGCCAGACACACACACAGAAAACACCAGGTGGTGCTTAGCAGCACACGTGTTGTGTTACGTGCACTCACTATCTGGCTTTCACTACCTTGCAGATAATTCTCGCCTCACATCTGCTCTGTGCAGCTCCTCAGGTCCAGCTTATTATATGTGATCAAGAATTTTATGTCTGTGTTGGCTGAAGGGAAAATTAATGTGGGAATTCAAGGCTGCTTTTTCAGCACACCCAAAGACCCGGAGCAAGGTTAAAAACTATAGGAGATCGTCATCATGCACTGACATCATGGATGAAAAATAACACTTCTACTGTCTGCCAAGAGTCTTTCTGATGTCGAAGTCTTATTTCCACTGTGAAGATGTCCATCCATAACTAACAGCAATATGATCACACAGTGATTTTTGAGTAATTTGTTGCATTTTAACTCTGAGGATTTATTCAACTTTAACTAATACGTTGGTGCACACAGGACTACAATGGAGAAAATTAGCCTTGGCTTTCAAGTGAATGTAACTGTCCAAAATGTGATGTCTTTTATGATGTTTATTTGAAAGACCTAACTCTAATTTGTGTCCTGATATCAGGAGGCTGTGAACTCAAAGCTCAGGAATAGCAGGTTACCGCTCAAAATGTCTCTATTTTGAGAAAATGTGTTGATGATGTAAGATCACATGCTCCCCAGATCTCAGTTTTTGTTATATTTATTCTAATTTAGGACTAAGAATAAGCTTCACGGCTAATTAATCTGTTAATTTCTCTCTTGATTTACTGATTAAATGCTTGTAGTCTATAATTACCCAAAATACTCAAAATTTCCAAAAATCCCAAGTTGACATCTGTAAATAGCAGTCCAATAACCATAACATGTCCGATCAGAATGATATAAAACAGAGTAAAGAAACACTTGTGATCAAATATTTCAGCAGTAGTAATACTTAAACCTGCAAATTGCACATAGCAAGAGGAGACGGCACACACTGGGAAACTGCACCACTGAACTTGCCTTTAATGCAACACTTTAGATGTAAATAAAGTTTGTAAATAAATACATTGTCTTTATTTTCATTACCAGTGATGAGACCTGATCACAGTAACGCCTATCAAATGTCATCGGACATTGACACAGTCCCCCATTTTCAGACGCTCAAAAGTAATTGAACAAAATAACATGATTTTAAATATAAAGACTGTTTTCAGTGCTTAGATGAAAATCGTGAGTGCCTGAAGTCTAGAAACCACAGATATCACCAAATGCTGTGTTTTCTTTAGACCTTTACATCATCTTCAGATGTGTGTTTGTGGGTCTCTCTGTCTTCAGTACAGCCCTGTACGCCTTATCACAGTCCATCTGCTATCATTTCTACCAGCAGTCACATCATCGACACACACTAGTAAACTGGTTTCACTGGCAGACATCCATGCTCATGCCATAACACTGACTCCACCATGTTTGGCAGATACTGTGGATCAGATCATCAGCTATTGTTCTCCTTCTCTTACTTTTCTCCTCCCCAAAGTTCATTTTGGTTTCATCTGTCCAAAGAATTTGCTTCAGAAGTGTGCAGGCTGTTTTGGATGTTTTCTGGCAAAGCCTAACGTGGATGGATGTCTTGCTCTTGAGCCAAACCAGTAGTTTGCACAAGTGTCTGTTGATATTTTTGAAGGTGTCTTTTGATTGTTGACCTTGACAATGATACTGCTATCTCCCCAAGAGTGTTGGTCTTGACTTGGCTTGATGTTATGAAGTTGTTTTTCTTTGGGAACATATTCTCTGATCATCCACTTTAGTTCTCCTCTGTGATCTTTCTGGTCTTTCGGTGTTGCTGAGCTGGCCAGTTCATTCCTTCTTTTTAAGAATGGATCTTTAGACCTCATATTGAGAGGTCCAGTGAACAGCTTCCAAATTCAAATTTTAACACTTGGAATGAGCTCAAGGAATAACAGCAGAACAGGCCTCACATGGCCATTAAACTGCTTGTTAGACGAATGTCCAATTACTTTAGAGCCTCTAAAAATTGGGGACTGTGTATAAAAAAAAGTGATTCCTAAAGAGTTAATGGAATACATTTGCTGAGCCCCTTGAATTAAAGCTGGAAGTCTATGGTTCAGTCACACAGTGATTGTTTGATTTAAAATCCACAGAAAACTACAATAATTGTGTCTTTGTCCAAAGAAAATATGAACCTAACTGTACATACACATTGATAAGTGAATGTGCTCCTGGTTCAGCAGTATCAGCTGTTGTTCACTACTATAACAGAACATGTTGTCCTCAAGGGGAGGGAACACGATGTGCTTTTAACATTTGAATAAAATAGAGCAGCAGAAGGTTAGTCAGGGTCAGACAGATTTCCACTGCTGTTTTGTTCCTGACCAACAATGTCTGAGGGAGTAAATACAAACAGAAAACAGTCAACACCAGTCAGGGAATATTTGATGATGTTAAGCAGCGGAAGCAACACCAGAAGGTGAACATTTTGGCGACGTGAAAAAAACGCAGGGACGTTCTGAGTCAGGGCGAGGGCCGAACGTCAGTCAGCTCCTCTCCCCTCTGCAGGCCATTTCACAGGAAGTCCCTGCCATATATGGTTGTCACAGGCCATTGTGTCTGTAGCTACATGCTCCTACTGTGCTATGTTCCCATGGCAACCAAGACGAATCAGTCCCTCCCTCCGCCAGTCTCTTGTTTTCTCTTTCTCTCTCTCTCTCACACACACAGACACACACACACACACACCAGGATACACCTTTATTCCAGACTTTGCTGCAGCCAGCGAGATCAGATGGTGGTGTATGACTCACTCTCATAACCTTTCCCCAAAGTTTTCAAGCCTTCAGCATCCAGAAGTTTCTCTCCTTACCCCAGCTGTTTACATCCTTCTTCCTATTCAGGTCAACAAAAAATCCAGCAGCAAATGTTCGCGTTCGTTCTGCGTGGTCACGTTACGGTTACGATTTAAGGTTAAAATAATAATAATAATAATAATAATAATAATAATAAAGAAATAAATGGTGCCTCTGGACTTCAGCAGCAGGTGGAACAAATTCTTCTTTAGTAGTTTCTGTGTGTTGCATCACCCACTCAATAACCCCCCTACCAAAAAAAAACCCCCAATAGGTCTTTATACGCGTACAAATCATAAAATGATTACAGTGTGGAGGAAAAGTTAAGTGCACTGTTGCATAACCAGGCATATTACACACAACCAAAGCTCAAGCTGTGCAATCAGACAATGCCTGATTTTGTTCAAAGCTCTAAACTAATCATCAAGTTCTCGCCAGCTCTGAGACAGACTGAATGAATGTTTGGCCTCTTAAACACACACACACATACCCAACCACACACACACACACACACACACACACACACACACACACACACACACAAACAGTTGTGGTGCATTAATGAAAGCTGCATTCATCTATCAGAATGATTGTTTTCACACACGTTTGGTCTGCTGTTATCTCAAAAAGACTTCTAGACAGACTCTCAGGCACAAACAATAAGAGCAGGCACCAGTGCAAGCTTATTACATTTCATTAGTATGTCAGGTGAAGCACGGCTTGTTGGGAGCTGCAGGATTGAGTCACCAGCCCCGTTCATCTTTCCCTCTCATCTTCACTCCTTCCACCCTCCCTCTCTCTCTCTTTTTTTTGTTGCTTTTTACCTCTCTCATCCCTGTTTGCCTTTTTCTCTCCTCCCTTGTGAAAACATTCTCATTTGAATTCACATTCAAGCAACAAGGCGCAGCTCACATATGTACGCCGCGAGACACTCCACAGAGCTCAGATTTCATCGTGTTCATTCATACTGCGCTGAGATACCGATTAAGTGACGATCTAGAAAACACCAAGCAATCAGACGATGAGCTATTATTACACAAACAACTCCCGACCACGGCGAACGCATCTGAGGTGCTGCAGACATGCACAAGCTCAAAAAAAAGGCAGGGGATGAGTTACAGGGTGTGTTAAACTACTTAAAGAGAGGACTAGAAGAAGACAGAAACTTTTGCTGTCTTACCAGATGCAGGCGACTTGCTGCGCAGCGATTGGACAACAGTTCTGGGGGAGCCTCGGTTCAAAGAGCCTGACATCCTCCCATAGATCAATGATTTCATCATACGACACTCTGCAAGCACAAAGAGAGGACAGATAGAGGTGTTCAGGGACTGTTTAGCAAATATTAATCCACTCACCTTTATGTATTCATCCAGTGCGCTGAAATCCAAAATCTGTAAGCTGTAGAAATTCAAATCCTAAGGAGGTAGCAGCTTTTTTACCTTCTTGCAGCACTCGGGATTTCATGCTCAAATAAACTGACATTAGGTGTGCGACACTGTAACATGACACTGGTTTGTGGCACAGAAACAGCCTTAATATTACACCATCAGAGCACTCGAACAACACGACAGCTCTGTTAGTCTGAAATGAAAAGTTTATGGATTTTAAGCCAGCTACTGTTTTAATATTGTTTTTGAGTGAGTCTAACCTTTAGCCATGCAAGAGAACAGCAAACCACTAATGTATCGCCACACTTGTAATTGGTTTTACCTTCAGGTCCCCCTGCAAAAACGAGCCCTGACCTTCAGTGGGCTCGTTTTCCAAACGCAATTATTGTGGTGCTTCAGAAGTGACAGCTATGACTCACGGAGGTCTTACAGACACACACACACACACAGCGCTAGTAAATGAGCCATGTGATGGTATTAAAACACACGCTCCGTGTCGGCTCCATCCCCAAAACTTTACTCCTCCACTGTTCATTAACCCAGCCCATTATAGCTCATTGCCATTATAGACCAGTGGGAAAGACAAATTGTACAGCTTGCCCCGCACATGTCTGTGTGCGTGTGTGTGTGTGTATGTGCATGCGTGCGTGCATATGAGAGCCTGGCTGTGTGTCTGTCTGTATTTGCATTTGCTTGTGTGGCAGACGTTTGTGGCCCAGTGATTAATGTACAATACCGAGTGTTAACATGATGACAGTGTGCCAGAGCTGAGGCAGAGGCGATAATTATAGCGATGCTGAGAGGAGGCGAAGTTGTCTGCAGCTCTGACTCCAGATGTCTCTCTGTTACGCTGTCTGTTTCGTTTGTCGCTCTCCGTTCCTGTCTGTCTATTTCTGCCTCTTGCTCTCTGTCTGCCAGCGCATGATGAGGTGTCAAATCATGCTCTGTGTCTATAAAACATTAGATATGGCTGCGTTATAATCACTGTTTTTGGGGGGGAAATGTGGTTCAGACGAATTCTCTGGATAAAAATCGACCTATGTAGAAGAGTCTGTGTAACGTTTTTAACGGTGTTGATTGTGCCCAAACTTTCATAAAGGACATTTGGGATGTTTAGAGAACATTCCCATACTGCCCCTCAATGGTCACATGAGATCATTTAATTGAGAAATTAAACAAAGGATCCTACGTGGGTAAAAGCTGAATGTATACTCTCCATTCTCAGTAAGATTTTTAAAAAGATCATTTTCATTCCTTTATGGTCATGTTGCAGCATTTCATAGCAGACATTTGGTATCTTTCTTATGGTAATCTGTTATTCATAATATTTACATGAGGACCTTTCATACGAGACTAGTGGAAACATTTTGGATATGAAGAAGATGTTCCCTATAAATGTAAGAGGTTGCACCCTTTTTCGTTTTAATAAAAGTTAAATGAAACTGAAGTTTAATAAATATTGGATATGGTAGGGATGGAGCAAGGAGTAGTCTGATTACAACAATTATCACAACAATCAGATAATGTTACATCTGGCTATTTGCAACTAGAAGTGTTGCATTTAAATGCATTTGGCACACATTCTTGGGAAATACTGGGAGTGATCAGGGGACAGTTGATAGATGGTACCATGTATTGAGCCATTACTAATTTGGTTTAGTTTTCCAGGCTTTCTGAAGGTCTTTCAAAGTTTTTCTTTGGACATTGGCTGCTTTATCACTGCTCATTTTTGTACCGGACCATTCTCACAGGAATGTTTTTATTCATTAATTATGAAGCCACTTAACACTGACCCATGAATCATTCAGGCTTAAAAAATGCACATAACACAAGGAATGACCAGTGTTGTGTCCACACGTAACGGATAACACAGAATCTATTTTAAATAGTATCTTTAGCCACTTTGTTACTAGGAGCCTGAACAAAACACATTATTTGTTCCAATTTCTTTAGATGAGTCTATGAAAAATAATACAGATAACACAGTTTGACAGACTTAAAATAGTATTTTTGTACCAACAACATCTGTCCCTTCAGTTAATAAATCTAATGCTCACTGAAGTCTCATCAGAAATGGTCTTAATGGAAGTGTACCTGTTAAATGGTAAATGGCCTGTATTTATATAGCGCTTTACTAGTCCCTAAGGACCCCAAAGCGCTTTACATATCCAGTCATCCACCCATTCACACACTGGTGATGGCAGCTCCATTGTAGCCACAGCCACCCTGGGGCGCACTGACAGAGGCGAGGCTGCCGGACACTGGCGCCACCGGGCCCT